CTGAAAATTGTTTACTTGCAATGAATTTATAAATCTAAATTGAACAATAATTTATTCATTTTAACAACCACATAAATATAAATATCTTAAAATTGCCTAAAAGAATTGTTTAAATAGAATATGTATTTATACCCTATAAACCATGAGACTACGCCTATGAGCACAGTTGATCGCAAACGTACTTACCATATTTGTTTACAAATTTAAAACATTAAAAATTTAAAAAATCTTTAATGTGATTGATAATTGAGAGAACAAAATACTTGCTTATGAAATGTAGTTCCTTCCTTTATACTTTTAGCTGTACTGCTGTATCTACAAGAGGAACAACTGACCATATTGTATTATTTGTCTTTTTACGCGGGAATCTTAAAATTAACACTAATGCTAACTAAATACTAAAACACTTTTTAAAAATGTCTACAAAACATACGCTTGATAAAAGTTTATATTAATACATAAAACATCCAAATTATTAACAAATTTTAATGATAAAATTAGGAACCAATTTTAAAAACCATTAATCATAAGATGATGAATCATCCATAGTACAACATGGCTACCACTTTCGTCAGATTGATTATATTAACGCGGACATGGCATGCTCCTTCCTGACTATATATAAGGTATGTTCCAATACGCGTGAAAACCGTAATATTACTGTACAAATCATGCGCTGTATACAATTTTTGGGTAGAGCGTACGGGTAGAGAGATTTGTATGGTAATATTACGGTTTTCGCGTGTGTTGGAACAAACCTATGTTCTAAGGTTTTGACCAGAGATAAGGGAAACGCTCTTAAGAAGCCAATGCTTAACAACGACCAGCTTTAACGCAGTTAACATCTGACCCACTATGTGGCGCTTTCATCGATATCAAACAACGCAGCGGGAAATTTAAAAACCTGATAATAGTAGGGTAGCCCACGATGTTAAATGGGGATTTACTCGAGCGTCATAGAGACCTATTGGGTTGCAAAGCTTAGATGATAAGAAGATAAAATGTCATATATATCTTTTCATCGGTGGGGGAAGCGGCTATTGATAGCATCAATATCCTACGTATTTTTAATAATGTACGTATGTTAATCTGATCGTTTGCATGATGCGGGTGGTTGTACGTAAGGGTTGAAAATAAAAAAAAATAATCGAGCGCGTCAGATTTTCTAAGGGGGTGTTAAGTGAACCAAAAAAAAAAGCTCTCATTCAATAATCTGACGATTTCGATGTGACGCAAACTCGCGGCCATTATTATAATGTGTAAAAAAATTCGCCATTTTGAAATACTCAAGCGCGTCAGATTAGGATATATATGGTTCATCTTTATGTCCTAGACGTGCTGTCTCATAATCTGACGATCATCCAGAGGGATTCGCCTAATCTGACAAAAAAAATTGAACTTAATTAATTGAAAAGCTCAGGAAATAGCATGCAAATAAAAAAAGTGTATGTTTTTTAAGCAGAATTTTTTATAATTAATTGATTAATTAATCATCATCTTCATCAGTAGAATCATCTTCCTCTTCTGGCTCGATATCATCCTCAGATTGCGTATCTGTAACAAAAAATCATTAAAATATTTAATATTTTTTTACGAATAACGTGTTTTTTTAATTATTGGAGAAAAGAAATACCTGAAACTGGAGTATCCTCAAGAATATCAGGTGTTCTGACTACATCTTCTGCAAACCAGATCATTTTGAATTTTCCGTCGACAACTTTCTATCCATAGTCCGTTGGTAAAAGATCAATAATTTTTGCAATATGGGCATTACTCTACAAGCATGCAATGAACCTTGTGCGTAACACTTGCTGGAGTAACTCCGATTCACAGGGTGGAAAGTTGCACGCATCGTAATTCCTGACACTCAAGGAGAAGGATTGTAATTTGTCTTTTACCTTGTACGTCTTATTGAAGATGACAATCCTGGCTTGATTGACATCGTCTAACTTTTTCAACCCATACAACTGGCAAGTAAAAGACTATGATGTTAAAAGAATCCTGCACATTATGCTCCTTTGATCCCAAATCCAAAAATGGTTCTTGGAAAATTTCTGAATTCATCAGAAATTGCAAAGGTTTCTTTTTCCCTCGTCGCAATGCTGGGTTGAAATCGCAACCAGTGAACGCATGCAAAGCTGGAAGCGCCTTAGAAATTTTTGGGCCTAATTTCTTGTAGATAGCGGATACGTCGATGAATCAGCGTGCATTGCCAACTCCAAGATCCATCCAAACTTCTACTCTTGCTTGCAGGTGTTCCATATTATGTCAGTATCAGAAGTTCTGATAGTAATAGTAGAATCTTCATTTTGTTGGCAAGCAAGAAATGATATCTTCGTATCCGCTTCTTCGTGATCAGGGCATGACAACTCATTATTAATGATGGGTTTTACTTTAGTATCAGTAATAGAATATTCATAACACAAATAATGTATTATGTAAATTACACCTTACTACCTATAATCGCTGCCATCTCCTGATCAGCCCAATGATCGATCAAAAATTTGACAATAGCTTCCTTAAACTTTATATTTTTCAAATATTTCGTAAAATATGCTGTTCTTGTTTGTTGAGGACCGGAAATGTGGAATTCCTTCTCGCCTACACTACCTCGAAGAGAATGCTCATAATCTTTGATAGAGGTTGTGAAGTAGTGATCAAATACAATATCAACTCTACTTGCAGCGTTATTGACAAGGCATTGTAATATCTTCTTTGACACGCCTCCAAAACTACGGGGCATTTAAAAAAAGGAACCATCTTCAATTACAAGGTCAATTTCGGGTGGCGGTTGCTCCATATCTTCGACTTGTTTCTCTAACTCATGAATTAGTACTGACTTATAAGTCTTGTTTAAAGAACCATTTATATGGCACGGTGACAACTGCATAAGAGTTATGGGAAAACAAAGTACTTTCTCAAAGTCTATACGCGTGTCAAGAGATAGAGCTAATATCCGACCCAAATTTTTGTTATTTCGGCTTGCGGAAATCGTCAGATTATATATTTTTCGTTATCCTTGAATTATTTCCATCAAAATAAAAAAAATATTAGCTACGCTCGAGAATGTCGAGATGACGTTTTTTTACAGCTTTGCTGCCCTCCCCTTTCTTTACGTCACTCTCAAATTGTCAGATATATGATCCTTTATCCTTCACGGCGGCGGCCTTATTTATGGGGCTCATATTTGGTGGAGGTACTTAACCGGGTACAAGGTATCCCCCTGTATATTAATCTGCCGCGCTTTGTAAATCCCGAAATCCCCGCTTGGGCTCCCCTATTATAATAAAGGTTGTATAAATATCGACTGCACTATCATGTTCTTGTAAATAAATTTAATCAATGTAATTACGCTAAATTATTTATTAAAAAGAATACTACACTTACAGTCTATTATCGATTAATTATTGTAAATCTATTTAAGACAAATATTTTTTAATTTTTGATCGTTATTTGTAACATTACATTTTTGTTCTTATTTTCCAAACGAATAGCCAATAGTGTCTTATTTAAAAATGTTGAGTGCAAACTTAATTCAGATATTTTTCTTCCTATATCAAATCTTCCTAACGTTTTGAAGCCATTTTCTTGTTCTAAAACAATAATAAATTAATACCTACTTTGTGAAAAAAGTTGGTTACTATTTGTGTTACTTACATGACTAGATCTTACTTTGGTTAATTAAAGAACGTTACATTGGGGTTGTTAAATTTATTCATGTGGCTTGTGTTACTAATGCAATAGGTTCTCTGACTTATTGTAATATTACAAAATATAATTATTGTCCTCAAATTTCACACAAAAACAGTTACAGCCATTTCGCTTAGTTCATCTAGAGGATAACACAATTATTAACTCTAAATTTAAATTCTGGATTCTTCGATATAAGTAAAACTAACTTTTATTTTTACAAACTGTCCACTTTTGTCCACATCTACTGCCTGTCTCAGTGTTGCCAACCGTACGGTTTAACTCTCTGTACGATGTACTATTGCATCAGTGAGATAGTACTTAAAAATACGGTCTTCCCTTTTTTAATAGGTTTATTTAAATATCTGTAACAACTTCAGAACGAAGAACAATAAAAATCAAAAACAACTTGCAAAGATTCATAGGCCGTTCGTAATTTCTGAAGGCATTCATTTTCGTTCTCACTTATCGTGATTTTGATCATGGTGATTTTGTCCCAACACCGACTATCACGGCATAACAAAGGCTTGCATGCAAAATTTCAAACACTTTCAACTGACAGTCATTGATTACTTTAAATGTGTTAATTAAAAGTTTCATGTGTTTTCTTTATTTTTTTTTTTTTTTTCGTTGTAAACATTTTTATAAATAGATAAATAAATCATGAAAAAGTTTTTTTTTTTCATTTTATTTATATTATGCTATGCATGTACCTATTGTACGATTTTTTTTGTCGAAATTCCATTTTTCTACTCTACTTGTACGATCTCTCAAAAAAAAATTGGCAACACTGGTTTGTCTACAAACGACGTATACCTGTAGTTAACATCTGAGAGGCATAGATGACGCCATCTGGTTTGACTGGTTTGACGATATCGCTCATACTTAAAAGACTTTATGCAGACAACGGTAAAATTCAAAATAAATGAGGTTGTGTTTCCTTAAATCATTAACAAATTAAATATTCTTAAAAATATAAAAACATGGAAAAAATGTCAGTTTACCAAGATTAAAATAAATAACAGTTCGTAAAGTATTAGGTTATTATCATTGTTAATTTATTATTTACTGTTATATTAACAGATGGTTGCTTTTATTTCGCTTTTTCAAAAATAAAATCAAATACAAGCGAGGTTATTAAAAAATAACTTCGGCATCAGTTTTAGAAACAATGTATTTCACACTAATTTTAATATGTGGTTAATTCAGACCAATTAGCCTGTACAGAATATCGTACACCAATTGACCAATTTTTTACCAGATCATCGGGAATTAGAGGAATGAGAGTTTAATTAAATGTATTTTTTAAGGAATCCAACGAAAGACTTCAACTTCAGGTTTCAAATATGAAAAAAATTGTAACCGAAAAGGATAGAGAAATAAAACTTTCATACTGCTACAGATCACAGATGGAATCTCAATTTTATGAAGTACGTATTTTAGAAGTCTATACAATTAAATGTAAAATTATAATTCTCGTATTTTAAGATTTTAAAAGAAGTGGAAAACAGCATAATCAGCAAATCAAAAGATATGGAATGCCTTTTGGTAACAAAAATAAGAAATAATATGCAAAAAGTTGCTTCTCTCTTAGAAGAAGTAAATACTTTAAAGAGAAAAACTACTTTAAAGAATGATTCAACTAGAAGACTCTTAAAGAACGTCGAAAATTTAAAATTAGAAAATAACAAAAACATGGTTACGGCGGATCAGCTAAAACAAGAAAATAGTGAACTACACAAAGCACAAAATAATTTGGAAAAGAATTTGGCAAGTTTAAGAAACATTTTAAATGAAAGAGATATTTCAAATAGAGAACTTCAGAAGAAAAATGTAAGTTTAATTGTTTTAAATATAGAGTTATTATTAATATTAATAAGGAAAACTATGAAGTATTTCGTGTAGAATTAAACATATTTCCGTTAACATAGCTCTTTCGACTTAATAGTCATCATCACTGCTTACCTTGTAACAAGTAAAAGTTTTTTAGTAGAGGAATATAAAAGTATTTAGCAAATATTTGATAAAAACCAAAATTTAATTGAAATTTGGATATTTAAATTTAAGTAAAAGTTCCAACAATTATCATTATTCTTAATGAGATTAAATATCAAATAATATGGAAAGTAAAATTGACATCTTTTTGAAACTTTTTAATAAACAAAACTAGTTGTTTCACAACCGTTTGAAACTTATCAAAGACAGTCCTGTGCTCGCGAACCCAGATGTTCATTAGCAACCGTAAATAAAAGTGTACGTGACAATAATCGCGTTCGCCAAGCCGCATCGGCGTGGAACGCTCAAGGCTAACTGGTTTATGTTACGTAGGCATATATGTATCTCTTTCTTTCGAACGACACAAAACTCCAGACAAGTCTATGCTTCGCCAAAAGACAGACGTGCTCTCATTAAAATTACGACAGTTCTTTTCTGTTATATAAATCAGTTAAGTTCTCTAAGCAAAGATAATAATTATTTTCTATATTGGCTTTTTGAAGACGTCGTCATCGAGCGCTCTATAGCCGGTGCGTCTGCAGCAAAGTATTTCCATCTTCTACAGGGTACAATTAAGTTGTTTGGAAAATTACTAGATTAAAAATTCCCGCGCTTTTTTCGCGCATGAATGATGCGAAACTGTCGAATAACGAAAAAGGCCCATTGTAAAAGTTTTAGTTTGGAAATAAATTGAATTTACCAAGAACCAGTGTAACATTTGGTGACAGCGTTGGGATTCAAAATAAAAGTTATCTGTTTATGGTAAATACCAGAACCATTGGGAATTAAAAGCTACATTCGACACCCAGTTTCACCCTTAATCCACCCAGGTTTGACGGTCAGACAATATGGAAAAAGGTCTCGACTCCAATTTGAAGCTGCAGCTAGAGCCAATGGCCTGGGCCGAGAAAGAGATGGCGGCTACATTGATAGTGTCGCTGCGAGGACACGCAGCAACCGTATTGCAATTACGTCCCCAAGTGGAAGCCTGCTAAAGATTCGTAGTTAGAAACAATAAAAGTCTGCGGGAATTCTGGACCTATATAAAAAGATTGCCGCATCTGACCTATCCCCAGGTGTCCAAAGATTTTTTAGAACAAATCGAAATATATTTCCGTTACATGTCTAGAAACATCTGAAAATTTCGAGAAAATCAAGGGAACTATATAATAGTTGTATCATTAATTGTATAATTTTGAAATAAGTTGAGTTTACCAAGAACCAGTGTAACAATATTTTAAAATTAAATAAAGGGTAGGAAAAAAAAGTCCAAAAGTCCAAATGATATGTATTTATTTTTGAAGCTCCAAAAAGCAATAGTCGTTTTCTTTTTACCACTAATTTGACTTAACTTACATCGACTAAGCTAAGTTGTACGTTCTTTTTGTGATTGTAAGTGATTGTGATTGTAAACCATAAAACATAACAGAAAGTGAATGTTCTGTGCATCATACGAACAAACATATCCTATGAATTCATCATGGTTTTAGAGAGATTAAAAGACTATGATAACAGGGGGAAAGATCGTAGTGTTGAATGTTGAGGAAATTATAAAATTTAATAAAAATGTCGATTGTTTTTAAAAAGATGACATGGGACCCGTCACCTATCAACCAAAATTCACGTTCTTTTTACAACTTAGCTTAGATCAGGATCTAACTTTTAGTTAGTCAAGTATGCATGTAAAAAGAAAACGACTAATACATATCTTTGTGAGATGCAAAGGACTTTTAATAAACCAATGGCTATCCCAAAATGGTATTTCAATTTTTCTGTAATATAAAATGCTGTGACTGTGGCGGCATCATAGCACCACATAGTCTTACCTTTAGTTTTGACTTTTACGTCATTTTAGTTTAAGGGTTTTTATTTGAGGTTAGTCAAGTGTCAATGTCAGAAAGCAACGTTATAATAACATACACACTATGATTATGGTCGATGGCCGTACGCACTAGCGCCCTACCTTTTGGAACCTTGGTAACCAATGGATGAAGAAACAAAAAAATTATTATTATGATGATTGACGACGATAGAAAATTGAACTGTCGGAGACGAGACTTCAATAATAATATTACATTTATTATCGATTGCTTTTACTTTGGATTTTTTTAAATAAATTAATTTTTCAGATTCTGCCAGGGCCTGGAGAGACTGTTGGCAATCAAATATTGATTTAGACTGTACTTCTTTCTACCCTTTTCAGTGCTTTAAGGGCTGCCTGACTGTCTGTCATGATAAAGATCCTCTTATCTCTAAGAGAGTCATTTAGCATAACTTTGACGCAGGCATTTATTAATGTTACTTCAGCCTGGAAGACTGTTGTCGGTGACCCCAGGTTCAGACTAATTGTCCTCCCTGAGTTCACATGATAGATCCCAGCTCCTGTGCTGTTTTTCATTTACTAATTAGATACGCTTTGACATAGTATCAACTAATGTTTAGCAGTCATCTGATGTAAAACTGTTCCTAATTTCTTGGAGACGGGTTCGCAATTCTGGAATGGTTCTTGCGGGATTTTATCGGAGCTTTTTTTCATGATACCAGATTGATTCGTTTTGTTTTCCCCTATTTTCCCGGCTTTTGGCCCTTTCTGGTATTTGAATATCGAAAGGTTTCCTGAAGTCGTGAATAATGGGCGTTCTATCCGACGGCATTCTTAGTACCGGATTTTTTTTTAATTTCTCTAATATTGTGTGGTGTCCTTTTCTCGAAAGTTCCCATCCAAATCCATTAGTAAACAGCCTGTATGCCGCCGTCATAGCCTCCTTCTCCACCACAAGGAAGACCTGTGATTACTAATTGTAGTATTGTAGAGAACATCGGCAGTCAAGAGCGGGGAGTGCGGGAAACTAATGCGGTAGTAGCGGACCGTCGTCGGCGCTTCCCCAGGCAGAACGATTTGAGTCGCCTTGAGTATCTAGTGTGATCAGCTGTTGCTGATTCTTACGCGTTCTCTCTGTAATCACTTGGTAACTAAATAAATATTTGACTTAATAATTAATAAAATCTAACAGAAATATTATAGTTTTTAATACGTTTTTCGTTATTATGGCAAATTTCTTTTAAAAACATGGTTTTGATAGTTGGGCCAACTTTACTGAGACAGGGCTTGTAGAACAAAAATTATATATAATCATATCGGGACAATTTTCAAAATATTATTGAAATAATTTAGGTGAAAATAATAAGAAAAATTTTAATTTTGCACTTTTAACCTCAAATTTCTCGAATACGGACCATTTTATGGAAATGCATTTGACAAAAATTATAGAGATTGACATCACAAGCAACATATATTCCTTAAAGTACAAAAGCGACTTCTATAAAGTACCCCCCAGATACTCCCACTATGCCCAAAATATTATCAACTCGTTAGAGGATGGTGTGTGTTTTGTATGATGGCCTGATCTCAGATCAATTGGCCAGAGCTAATGTTGTTAAAACGAATCTAAACCTATTTACAATTTTCACAAATTACAACAATACAATAATTAATAATGAAGGAACTTAAAATCTATTAAAAGTATACAATTTTCATCATATTAACAATTAAACAAGAGTTAAAACAGTTGTGTTAGAGGATGGTAAAGCTTAAGTTTAAAATTTACGGTTTTTTTTCTTTATACGTTTTTGAATTATCGTGGATACAGACACACACGGACATCATCGCGAAAATATTGGAAGCGTATTCAGGGGACCCCAATACTTAAAAATCCGTCAATAAAAATCATGAATCCCATACTTTCCTTCTGTATACAGACAGAAAAGTAAAAATAACTAAAATGATTTATTCGATCTGATTTTTTTTTTTTTTTTAGGAAGAATTAAAATCTGATATGGAAAAAGCTACTATTATTATAGCTCAAAAGAGTTCAAGCATGGATGAATTACGTAAAGATCTAATACAAGCAAATCAAATGTTAGTTAATTTCAATAATCACTATGACCAAAAAGTCGAGACAGTAAGTCACAATATTAGTTAATTTTTCTAATTTCTATTTTAAGAAGTTTCGATATTTAAGAGGGTGATTATAAGGACATTTCTAAGCAAAAAAATATCCCAAAGTATACTGTAGGACATCTAAAATGTATAACCATGTTACGTGCTCAATACTTTTGTGCAACAGAGATTTTAAAATTAAAATAAAATAAATACTTACAGTTTAAAATAATGCTATTAGATATTTAATAATTATTTATTTTACTTGAATTATTGTTTACATTCCGAAGTACAAACAATATTGAACTTGAACTCTTCTTCTTCCCATTGCTGTCCAAAATATTAGGTACTCTTCAGCCTAAAAATATTAACTAGCTAGGTTAGATTTATTATTGTCACCAAAAATCTCCTACCTAGATCCATAGAAATAATATAGAAGACCAATATAAACATAACATTTAAGCAGAAATTGAAACCTACTGTGCATAAAAACGCGTCTCTGCGCCTGCCATCGCAAAATAGTGTGTCTAGAAGCTTGCGCAATATGTATGACTTGTCCCTGTAGTGTTGCCAAATATATTAAACATACCTAACAGAAAAGAATTTTAAATTAATTAATTTTTAAATTATATGATTTAAACAGTTTATATCTACGAAATATCGCCACAAAATAACTTATACACATTTAAATAATCAACTAATAATATTTATGTGTAATTACATTCCCAAAAATATATACAAATACCGTATTAATGTCATTAATACCGTATTTTTAATGTTCAATAAGCCATTCACCTACAAATTCAATATTGACCTGGCAATAGCACTAAAATCCGGTGTTTCAAGGCTATATGACGCTGCCCTTACAGGACCGTTTGTAGTTTATTATTTATGCCGCGTTTGAGAATCCACATCGGATGCATCTGAGATGTAGTAAGTAGTAAATCTTTGATCACGTGATTCAGTATACGTAAATGTAATGGGACAGATGTGTCCGATGTGGATAAAAAACGCTCGAGATGTAAAAAATGCATCCGATGTGGATTCTCAAACGCGGCATTAATTACACGATGAAAGTGGCATTTTATTTTTAGTTTTGTGTAGTGTTTAGTCAAATCCTAGGTACAATAAGAGACATTTTTACATTGGCTAATGAAAATGTAATCAATGTATTAGGCAGCTGTTATATTTATTACAAGATTTATGTCTGCAAATCTAAACCTACCTAAGAATTATAATTATGTAAATAGAGAGCTGTATATTTATATACAGGCTGCCCAGCGACGGGGAGACATTATCGATATCGGTTTTAAGGCATTTTAAAACATAAACCCGATCTCAACAATCTTAGGAACTCTTCGGTCACTCGATATTTTAATCGGTACTTCCTCTTCGCTTTTTGGCTGGCACAACAATTATTTACATTTCTTCATTCCTTACCGCGTTCGAACCAGTAAGGTTTAAAGAAATTTAAGGAAAAAACCTACTTTAAAAATAAAGATGTTAATGATTTTCTTATGGATCCCATCTTCAGATCTTGACTTAATGTATATAAATTTGTTTCCTTTTCTAACAAAAATAATCCTAGAAATCGGGCAACGTGGTAAAGAATTATCGCTCAACATACATAAAAAAATATTTCAACGAATTGAGAATATTCTACCATTTTGAAGTATGTTAAAAAAAAATTGTTAATAAAGTGAAAAGTAGGGCATAAACATATATTATAAAGTATATAAAATGATAGATAAATCCAGTTTAGAAGGTATTATAAATAAACTGTGGAAATATCGAGAATCTCGATTTTGAATCGGAAAAATATTCTACGCAATTTAGTATGAAAGCTGATCAAAATGAAATACATGAACGACAAACTGTTATTGACAACTTTCTTCAAACGTTTTCTATTTTTCCGAAAACTAACTAGATAGTTCGAAAATCATTTCCTTCGTTAAAACGCCTCTTGTTCCGAAAAAGGTACACGCCTGCCAACATTCATCGTTCATTAAAAAAGTGGTAGATATAAAACGTTTCGTATTGTAAGGCCAAAATATATTTAGAAATCGAAATAGTCATATAAACAAAAAAATCATATGAGTGAGATAACTACCAAATTAATGATTTACAAGTTTATTCCTATTATTTATAAAATAGGTTTGCAATGTGCTGGTGTGGAATGTTATCATCGACTAAAAACTTTAAATCTTTGTATTAAATTGATCGAAAACAAACTATAAATTGGTTTAGGCTATATAGAATGTTTCTAGTAAGTAGCAACTAATTTTTATTATGGAACCGAAAGACCCTTTTAAAAAGGTTCAAAATTAAAATAAAATATGTACCAAGTAAATGTAGTAGTATTTTTTAATTTATATTGAAAATGGTAACATGAAAGGTTTTCTGTCTAACGACTCATAGTCTCGGCTGACAAAATGTAAAAAAATATCGAACATAATATTCCTCATGGTATAAAAAATAAAAGGTAGGATATCAACAGTGTCAAAAATAGGATGGCCACGCGCATGGCGTCACGCGTAGAGTTTGTATAGGCGCGAATTTAAAAATACTAACGAAGTGTGAGGAAAATATATGCTAATATAGAAATTTTATGAGTATTAAGGATAATATTTTAGAAATTACATGAAATATCTATGGATATTATTATAGGATAGTCAAGGAAAGAACTATGAAGGAACATAAATGCAAATACATACATAAAAGAAATATTTTTTAAACAGTTTCTTCCTTTTTTTTTAATGATTTATTTTGTTTATACAAATTCGATATCTAAAGAATAGTATTTATAACCAGGATAACAAAATAAGGGGTATCTTCGCAACTCGAAACTGGGGATCCTGGTAACAATTTAACATCTGGATATGCCGGAAATTTTTACCTGATCAGGATTTGCAACTCATTTACCTGCATTATTTAACCCAATTGAATAAAAATACGTTAAAATTTTTTTATACATATAATATAATGCAGACATTCATATAATATAATGCAAAACATAAAAAATGTACCAAATACAAATAACTGTTACAATACAAAATTAAAATAAAATGTCGCTGCATTTTTCCTGGACCTAGTCGCCGACAGTTTTTTAAATCATTCATCAAGTACAAGTTGAAATTTTCCTTTTTCTTTGGTGACAATTACAATTTTACTTTTGCTTATATTGCGAAATTTCAAGCCTTCAAAGGGTAGAGTCTCCAGTTTAGAAGTCCCAAGTTGTGAATTAACCAATGTGATTCACACTGGTTCATTCACAACTTCACATTATGTGAAGTTCTGATTTAAGATCTCTCTTATAATTGGAAGGTTGAAAGTGCTTGGAATACATATGAAAATTTATCTGCATGGTCACAAGCCATTGCAAGGGCTACTCCATGCCGAATTTTCTTGGGATGGATGGTAGAATTGCCTATTTAGCATATTTTTTTTTAATAAAAGGCACATGGATTTTAAGAATTTTAATCTAAGGAACGGCATGCTCTCCTCTGTCCCCGCTGGAACCGCCTTTGGGCCACTTCTTACTTCTGACTAAGCTCTTACTGTCGAGGAAAGTGACCATAATATCTTTCTTGTATCCTTTTCTTTAATTGTTACTGTTACATCCGTACTGCAATTTTTCAATGTTTTTCATTAAAGCCACTCACAGAGAACAAAGTTGACAACACAATATAATACAAATATATGCTTAATATCTTATAAATCACTATAAACGACTCGCAAACTACTGCAACATGCGTCTGTCATATGATATTTATTTCGCGCCAGCTCTACTAACTCTACGCATGACGTCAGCGCTGCCATGACACCATGCGCGATATCTCCCCCTGAATATTCCTGGGCCCTATTTTGCACTCCCCAGATTAAATTTAGTTGTAGCAAATGATATTATCAAATAAGATGTCAAATCACAAGCAAAATCTCGTGACTACAGTACTAATGATTGCCTGTTTGGAAAAGTATCTTTGTTTGTAAATAATTATATGCATAGTTATATTTAAATGCGCGAGTGTAATGTTAAGTATAAACAAAATCCGCCCATTATGTATATACGTTTAGTTACCGACCCTAGTAGATAGGCAATTTGTTATTGTTTTAAGTTTTACCGTAGGGAGAGAGAAAATCAATATTAGGATAAATGGTCCAGCTCCTTTCTGGTTACGTAGGTACCTAAAAAGTATTTTAGTTTTTGGTTAAGTAATTAATTATTGTAACAGTGATTTTCTTGTGATAGTACCTAATTTAGATTGTGGATTAAAGTTTTTGTATATAATTTCGCTGTTTAATAATAAACGTAGTCAAAACCGGAGCACGTGGTTTTTCTGGAAAGTATTTTTAAAATCACAAGCAAAATCTCATGACTACTGTACTAATGATTGCCGAAAATTAACTAATTCATATTTTATGCCATATCTTTCTTAATAAGGACTGTCAGAACCATATTTACCTTAACTTGAAATTTTTTTAATCGTTTTTTGTATAGAATCATCTCTAAAAATGTATGATTGAAATATCGTGCGAACTATTTGTTCGATCAATAAAAAACTTGCACCGGTCCTGTTCGCGCCAGCACCGTTATACGCATGAGCTCCGACACACTATTTTCTCCTTATGGTTTCATTTTTGATATATGGAATCGGCTTTCTATACTATTTCTATACCTAGATCAACGAAGTATGCTTTCTCTCTCACTTCCTGGTTATGTCTCTTTTTTAGGCTGATATTGGGCCATGTGGACTCATTAAAATAATCGAAATTTATTTCGGATTTAAAAAGCCTAAAACAAAAAGAAATTCCATCAAAGATATAGTATAACGAAAAATTAATCAATGCTGATTATAAGCGTTAGTGGATTTGTAAACATATCTTTAGAATGCCACTACTTCTTCACGGCCATCGACTATTAACTACCACCTAGCTTTTATTCGTTGCTAACTACCATATCGTAGACTAGTTACCATATCTATAATTACCTCCCATCTAACACATATTCTTGGATGAAACATTGGAATAAGAATCATATTTAATAGCATCACTCACCTTCCAGTCTGTAGCTGTTTGATACTGACCCCAACGCACTTCTGCAGATATAGTCAGTTTCAGGTTGCAGATTTTGAACCATTAAAATTATCTGTACTGCAAGGAAACAAGTAAGACATTCCCAATTATGACTCGAGTGTATAACATGGCGATTCTAATTTCATTTCATTTGGCTACAGGAATACCTACAAAACAAGATAAATATTGAATAAAACATATTTTTATATTATAGTTTACCAGCTAAACTATATCATCATCATCAATATCAATACTTTTAGATTAAAAGGGTATTTACCTTGCACTGTAAACCTCATAGTACTACGTGAGTTCATTTGCGGTTTCTTTATTGTTAAAATCATATATTGTCAATTTTAATCAAAGATATTTAATCTGTTGCAAATAAAGAACTCTTTAAGATATTCTGTTTCTTTAAATAAGACCCCAGTTCAGCAACAATCAAATTGTATTAAACTAAGTTTTAGCCGAGAGCAAGTTTAAATTTAGTAATCTCAAGTCATCCTTGCACCATAAAAAAGTACCAATGAAGAAATTATTCCTCCAATGCAACCAAACAGTTATTTTTAGGATAAGATTTTGTGTCAAATGTTATCCACAGCCACAGGGTTTCTTTTTAAATGGCATGACATTCAAAATTTTGGTCAAAACAATTTTCATCGTGCACTTTTCTTGGAAATTCACAATGCTTTATTAGGATTAAAAACACCAGTTTCTAGAAACTTTTTCACTATAACACTAACATTACTGATCAGACAAAGTGGTTAAAGTCTTCTTTTTGTAATCACATATCGCAACTGAATGCTATTTTTAAAATAAATTATCTCTATAATTCCATTTGTATAGTTGTATGCTGTGCATCTGTGAGATTGTTGTTTATTATACATAGGTACCAATTATAGAAATCTTTAGTAAGTACTTGATTGCAATTTTAGTAATATATGTACCTACCCTATATAATTAATTATTTCAAACATAAATAAAACCAACAACTATTATCTGAGTCTTTTTAGTTCCGATTGGTTTTGACTGAGTAGTTTTGATCATGGTTTTCTTCCATCTACTTTTAACCATAAAGTCATACCTATTATTCACGTAGTGGTTTGGATTTTGGTTTGTTAATTTGATGTCATAATTCTCCTCATTGTCAGATTTTGACATTGGCAGCTTTGATCAAGACAAGAGAGTCCTTGAACGAAAAATCGTAGTTCGGGTTTTAGTTTTAAAGCACAAAGAGATTAACAAATCTGATGCACAGTGTTATTCGAACGTTGATTTTCGATCACACAGGTCATATATCGGACGGTTTCGGCGAAGACAGGTCGGAAAACAGTTAATAAATATTCATCTAACACATATTCTTGGATGAAACATTGGAATAAGAATCATATTTAATAGCATCACTCACCTTCTAGTCTGTAGCTGTTTGATACTGACCCCAACGCACTTCTGCAGATATAGTCAGTTTCAGGTTGCAGCTTTTGAACCATTAAAATTATCTGTACTGCAAGGAAACAAGTAAGACTCTCGAGTGTATAACATGGCGATTCTAATTTAATTTCATTTGGCTACAGGAATACCTACAAAACAAGATAAATATTGAATAAAACCTATTTTTATATTATAGTTTACCAGCTAAACTATATCATCATCAATATCAATACTTTTAGATGAAAAGGGTATTTACCTTGCACTGTAAACCGCATATACTACGTGAGTTCATTTACGGTTTCTTTATTGTTAAAATCATATATTGTCAATTTTAATCAAAGATAGTTAATCTGTGGCAAACAAAGAACTCTTTAAGATATTCTGTTTCTTTAAATAAGACCCCAGTTCAGCAACAATCAAATTGTATTAAACTAAGTTTTAGCCGAGAGCAATGTATAAAATATTTTAGTTTCAGAACTCTGTCTTTGACCGGCTCATTTAATTATAGTAAAATCTGCTAAAAGATGGGCTAGTCGTAATAACCAATCTTGAATTTTTGCATATATGAATCCAAGATACTCATTGAAACTTATCAACTTAGAATTGGTATATCGCCCCTTGAAATATCAACTCACAGTGTATGTTTAATACAAAATTGTTTCAGATCGAAAATCTACAGGCAACATTAGTTACCAAAAGTCAAATTATTGAAGAAGAAAAATGTAAAAATTATGAACTTCAAAAGGAGTTTGATGGGTATAAAATCGTTTTTAATGCAGAAACTCAACAAAAATTGAAAAACGAATTATTTTTGGCTCAAAATAAAATTGATGAATTGGAAAAATCGATCAGAAATGTTAAGAAAAGTTAGTATAGTTGTTTTTTATTAAATAATAAAAAGTTTAATATATTTTCTTCTTGCAGTAAATTCCCTGCTTTCTGAAAAAGTTAATCGGATAGGAATCTAGAATTTTAATATATATGTTTATTGTTAGCCACATAATTTGTATTTTTGTATTTAGTGCTGAATAGTATTTTTTTTATATTTCCAATATTTTTAAAAGAAAAATAATTTATTTTATTAAATTCTGTATTTTATTCAATACATTTATTTGTGTCCCTCCCAAATCCCGGCCCCACTGCTGAGAAATTTAATTAATCCTAATCTAAATAGTCATTTCTTTGTCTTAGTATTATTAGCTGAGTATTGTTCTACTCTCCCTTTCAAAATGCAGTCTTGAGTGTACGCTCATCGTGGTCAGACGTCTTTTTGCCAGTGCTGATAAGTCAAAACGACAAAAAGTGTTTAAATATTGTGTTATTTTTAACGATACCAAATTTTTCGAGAAAGTGATTATTACAACAACTTTATTAGCTTATTTTGGTGATGGATAATATCGAGGGCGGCCCAGCAGGGCCGCCCCAGGTAAATACAGATGTACCTAATACTACGAATAAACCAATTTCTTATGATTTTGGTAATAAATACAACTTTGCCGATCGCGGGCCATACCTAGTATATGTAGAACATGAAGACAAAAATTTAGGAAGATTATTTCCAGTTAGGGTAGGACAATACCTACAACAAACTGATGAATTCAAAAAAGATATATTTGACATTCAAACTATAGGGAAAAACAGGGTAAAAGTTATCTTTAAATCATTTAATATAGCAAATACATTGATAAACCATAAAACCATTTTACAAAACAATTTAATTGCTTACATTCCAAAATTCTTTACTCAAAAAAAGGAATAGTTCGAAACGTAGATACCTTCTTCACAGAAAAAACAATCCTAGAAAATATTGTCTCTGAAAAAGAAGTAGTAGAAATTAGGAGAATGAAACGTAAGAAAGTCCAACCTGATAAAACAGTCGAATATGTTGATGGGCAAATTATAATTGTAACATTTATTGGCAATACCCTCCCTGAAAATATAAAAATTAACATGTGTAATTTTGTAGTTGAGCCATATGTGTATCCCGTGGTGCAGTGCTACAAATGCTTGCGCTACGGACATACAATATCTCAATGCCGAGGAAATACTAGGTGCCAAAAGTGTACCGAGGAACATGAAACGACATCATGTGAAAAAGATATATTTTGCGTATTTTGTAAAAGTAGTGATCATTCTAGTGTATCAAAAAATTGTCCCGCTTATAAAAAACAACAAAACATCAAAAAGTATATGGCATCAAATAATATTACATTTAAAGATGCGGAAAAAGTTATAGAAAATTCTAGTTATGCAAAAATTGTCACTAACAACAGATTTGATCTTTTACGTAATATTAATAATTACCCCGAACTACCAAATACGAATGCAGGAACCTATGTTCGAAAACCCAAACCACCACCGCTCACCAAATCTCAACCTGTTTCTAACACACTTAAACGAAAAAAACCTTCTTCTCCGCCCGAAACTCCTACATCTGTTAGTAGCACCCCTATATCTAAACCTCTTTCAAAACCAGTAACCCCCAACCCCTACAGGGATGAATTTATGGAATTTAAGGAAAAAATGATATTTGAAATTTCCAAGTTCGTTCGCTCTATTACCAAAAATCCCCTAAATATCACAGAAATTGAAAACTTCATCACTTCTCTAGCAATTGACAAAAGCACTAATAACCCTGACAATATGGATCATGATCCTATAGAAATTAGTGATGGCGAACGATCTGAATACTAAATTACGTATTTTACAATGGAATGCAGGTTCCATTAATAATAAAAAAGCAAATCTCATGAATTTTCTAGTTGATTACCCTTCAGATATCATTATGATATCAGAAACATGGTTAGATTAAAAAAATATATTTAATCTTCAAGGATACAATTTAGTTAAGAAAAATAGGGCTGATGGATATGGCGGTGTTGCCATATTTATCAAACACCCGTTAACATATATAGAATTAAATGCTAATGCAAACATTAACCAACATATTGAATTATGTGCTATACAACTAACTGGCTTAAATCTCTCTTTAATTTCTATTTATAAAGCACCAGATAATAAAGTTTTTCAAAAAGACTGGGAATACCTATTTAGACATTTTAATAAAAATAAAACTATTTATGCCGGCGACTTTAATAGTCACCACACCCTGTGGGGATCCATTACAAATGATGCTCAAGGCACAAATTTGGTTGAAGCCTTAGATACTACAGAATTGATTGTAATTAATAATGGAAATCCCACAAGAATAAGTAGGCCAAACGAAAACCCTTCAGCTGTTGATTTAACGATAGCAACAACGGACATTGTAGATAAAATTACCTGGAATGTTTTACCTGTACCACTGGGTTCAGATCACTTACCAATAATAATGGATTATTATCACAACGACGCTAATACCTTTTCTATTACACCTACAACCAAATGGAATAGTAAAAAATCGGATTGGAACCTGTATTCTAGCATTATTCAAAATGAATTAGACTTAACATCATCTAACTATGAACATATGAACAATTCAGAAAAGTTTGCTATTTTGTACAACGCTATTTGTAAAGAAGCTGACGTTTCCATGCCCAAAAAAAAACCGTTTACACCAACTAAAATGCAACCTTTATGGTGGGACGAAGATTGTTCTAAAATATTCAACTCGAGAAAAAATGCTTTTATTGAGTATAAAACTCTTTCCAATTTTGACAACTATCTAAAATATAAAAGTATAGATGCGAAAACTAAATTAATGTTTAACAAAAAAAAACGCAATAAATGGAAAGAATTTTTAGATAAACTAAATAAAAGCACTCCTGTATCTGAAATTTGGAAATATATGAAGGCTATAAAAAATAGTTCAGTAGAATTTAAAAAAACAATACTAAATAACGATATGATCGAAGCTTTGTTAAATTATTTTGCACCAGCTTCAGCACCTAAAAAAAATAATTATGTAAATAATTTCAGATTTAAAAATAACAACACAATTAACCAACCTTTTTCTTATAATGAAATGCTTATGACTATGAAAACCTCAAAAAGCACAGCTCCGGGACTCGACAGTTTTACATATAGTATGATAAATTATATGCCCACTTTTGCAAAGACATATCTTTTAAATATTTTAAATAACTGGTGGTTGAAATGTGAATTTGTGGAACAGATGAAAGAAATGGTGATCTGTGTTTTATTGAAACCGTTAAAAAATCCCACCCTTGTTACTTCTTATCGGCCTATTTCTCTTTTATCGTGTTTAACAAAGACACTAGAAAAAATGATAAAAACTCGCCTAGAATGGTATTTAGAATACTACTCTCTTTTACCTAATACACAATATGGATTCAGACGAGGCCGCGGAACAATTGATGCAGTTGCACATTTGGTAAATGATGTACAAAACGCTTTTACAAAAAATTAATATGTTGTATGTTTATTTTTGGACATAAAAGGAGCATATGATTCTGTAAACTTGGATTTGCTTCATAAAAAAATATTTTCGTTAGGTATAGACGCGAATATAGCCGCAAGTATAATTGAAATTTACAAAAATAGAAAAATATAAGAGATCATAGAAATGTGTTACATGGTCCAAGAGTTATTTATGATGGTTTACCACAAGGGTCTGTGCTCTCTCCAATGCTTTTTAACATTTATACAGCAGATTTGCATAGTATGTTTGATGAAAAAATTAAAATAATTCAATATGCAGATGATATTTGTATATACACTATCCAAAGTTCATATCAGCAAGGTGTAAGTAAATTATCGCATGCAGTGTGTCATGTACTAGATTGGCTGGAAGACTTAGGTTTTACTATTTCCCCAGAAAAATCGTCAGTCATGTGGTTCACAAGACATAGAATTAGTAGTTTCCATCAAACCCTTACCATAAAAAAATACAACGTTCCCAATTGTAAACCAGTACAGATATCTAGGCATAGTGCTTGACACAAAATTGTTATGGACAAAACATATTGCTCATATACAAAATAAGTGTGAAAAAGGCATTAACATGCTGCGATATGTTACGAAAACCAAATATGGTGAGATCCCAAAATGGCCCTTATATTTTATAAGAGCTATATTAGGTCAATTATGGACTATGGAAGTGTGTTATATGGATCAGCATCCAATACTAATTTAAAAATAATCGACCGAATACAATATAAAGCTATAAGAATTTGCATCGGCGCAATGAATTCATCTCCATGCTTTGCAATGCTTGCTGAAGCACAAGAACCGCCCTTAAATTTAAGAAGAACTTTCTTAGCTAATAAATTAGTACTAAAATATAGAACATTTAACACGTACCTTGATCAATCTATCTCTCAATTATGTATAGATAATTTGGTTAATACCTACTGGATATCAAAAAAATATCCTTTACTAGCAGATGCATTCGCTAATACCAGTGTATTCAGTAAATACTACAAACAAGCTTCAAAATATCCACTCTATGACCAACGTTTTGAGGTCACTGCAACCAAGTTCACAGCATTATATCCTTCATATTCAAATCTTAGTATTATTAATAATACCCTCGTTTCATCCATACTAAGTCGCTTTACTAATACAATTCAAATATTTACAGACGGTTCGAAGTCTGAAACCGGGACAGGTTATGCTTTTTACGTTCCAATTTTCAACTATATGCAGAAAAGTCGAATCCCGGACTATTGCTCAATTTTTACTGCTGAAGCCAAAGCAATTGAATCTTCACTTGAGTGGTGTCTTAGTGAAAAAATAAACAAAGCTGTTATTTTGTCAGATTCTAAATCTGTTCTACAATCATTGGAAAATCATGCCACAAAAAAATATAATCACCACTTAATAATAAATATTAGATCCTTATTGTGCAACTTAAGTAAACAAAATATTAAAGTAGATTTCATTTGGACCAAAGGACATGTAGGAATACGAGGAAATGAAATTGTCGATTCGGCGGCGAAACAAGCTACTCTCCTTAGTGAAATAGAGGATGTATTTGCGTACGATGATATAATCAATTTCTTTAAAACCCAAATGAGTACAGATTGGAAAAATTTATGGAATGTCGTTGATTACGTTGATATACACCCTACACTGCCAACAAAAAATAATCACATTTTTTTGTACAATATTAG